AAAAAAAAAAAAAAAAAAAAAAAAAAAAAAAAAAAAAAAAAAAAAAAAAAAAAAACAACGAAAAAACAGAAAACAATCAAAATAATTATTTAAGCCTCGCTTAATAGGCTTATGACAATGTTCTCTCTTTTTTGAACCGCAGTTGAATGCACGAAGCGAACAATTGCTGAAGAACCGAGAGATCATATAATTATTTTATGGTCAGCCTCATAAAACGATAAACAAAAGAAAAGCAAGAGGGGGAAGCGAGAGAACGCGAGAGAGCGGAAAAGAGAGGGAGGACGAGGGATATCAATTAAGCTTGGAACATATTAAATGTGAGGCAATTAAGTTAGTGACGACGATTGAAAGTCGCGTCGAGTTAAGTCGAGCTGAGATATACACAAGTCAGGCTGATTCACAGTCTGTCTGTCATTCACATATATGTACATACATATATATACTCATATATTCCCGCTTAACACTTATAAATCAAGTTGGTAATTTAATGCAATTCAAATTATAATAAAAATATTTCCGTTCAATTAGTATTGTTCAATTGCGAACGATTTATCAAACGCTGCTGTGTGGGCCGTCGACACTTGTTACTTGTGTTAGTCGAGTTCAAATCACAATTTCTGGGAGATTCTCTGAACGATAAACGATCAAACATTCAATAAATCAGTGGGGAAAGCCCACAGAATCTCATTCACAAGTCTTCCCAAAATAATGACTAACTCTGGTGAAATTTCTGCTAAGATGAAAAAAATAAATAAGAGATCTATGGCGACTTTCTTATATACAAGGAGACAGGGGGAGAAACTTGTTTGCCCTGAGCTAACGTAATCGAAAAATTAAGCCAAATCAGAATTGTGAATTCATGAGCATTTGCTTTCATACCGATTTTCGGAATTCGGGTTGAAGTCAGTTAAAGCAATTATCCATCAATAATTTACTTATCCAATTAATTTATGAGCCTCTGAACTGATCTACTGAGAATTGTTCAATTTATTAACTGCCGACGATTCTATAGACCCAAAGCCAAAAACAGTTTATAACGATACAAATTGCAATTGCAGGCAGAGCTTTATGCATTATTAACCATTATGAATGTGCTGGGAAAATAGCGGGTAGACAAATACGAATTCCCAACACACTGCGTGTGCACACAAACAGGAGAACATGAAATGCGTGCGCCGGAGGTCAGCAACAGCAACAGCAACAGAAACAGCTGCAACAACAACAAATGCAACAGACGGCAACAACAACAACAAGCGACAATAACTATAACAACTGAAAATAAAAGCAACACACATAGAAATGTATATATGTATATATACATACATATATTCTCATACGTTTATATATATTTACATTTGTATGCGTGTGTATTCAGATCTGGGGCTATGCATATTCCAAGTGAACCAACATAAAGATAAGGCTGCCCGACTCTCTGCAGATGTGTTGCCCAGTAATGAAATACACTCAGAGAAAATGCATCATAATAGATTGCGATTTCTTCTATCTATCATACTATATGCATTATTGAATGGAAATAACTATTAATTTATAATATAATACAATTATTTAGTTATATTGTATATATAGTACTCACATAATATAGGCAGTTTTTATATAAACAAATATGATATACACAAATAAGTTCTGTATTAGGTTGAAGACTTTATTTCGTTTTAATATTAATGTTTGAACCATAGCAAATTAATTTGGACTTTTAGATTCAGTAGGAAACATTGTATTTACATTATTTTTGGCATGAAACTTATCATTTAAAAAAAATTGTTGAATAATATTTAACAAATTTTAAGAACAGTTCATTGTATTTGATTTATTTATCAAACTCTAAAGTAAATTTTAACATATTATATGAAATCCTTATCGCTCACATCTGAATAAGTTGAAACAGTTGTTTTGTTCCAGTGTCTGACCCCAAAATCCCAAAACGAACTTCACACACGCTGCGTTGCCCTGCATACATAATTTCTTACGTACATACATATTGAGAAGTATATATAACTACATGTAAATATGTATATATATTTATTAATATAAATAGACATATACATATATTTTGTGCTCGATATGTTAGCTGCTGCAGAGCGCACAATGCAGGCTTTTTGTTTTGGCTGTAGTCCAGCGTTTAATGCATTTTGTCTGCCCAGCTAGGATATATACCCATTCACATTCATGTTCATATTCACATTCGACTCGTTATTCATACTAAACATAGTGGTCGCACCCCTGACGCCTGCCCGCCTGGCGCTCCTTTGACCAGGCGCTCATTAAGCGACGGCGTCTTTTTTTTATTTTTTCATCAAAATATGCGCAATGTATGCGAGGCAAAAGGAACTCAGGCGACAGGGCAAAGTCTTAAGGACATTGAACCCCCTTCGCCCCGACCTGACGCGACCGAAGCCGAACCGATGAGTCAGAGGCAAGGCTCCAGACACGCGACGTGGCAAGTGGCACTAAGTACGCCCACTACCAACGCGACTATACAACATGTCCATTGGATTGGCATGCAGAACATAAAAGTATATATGTATGTATATATGAGACACATAAAAAGACAAAATTTTTACATTTATTAAAGGCCCTCGAATCGAAGCACAGAGTGAGAAAATTATAATTGAGCGAACCATTCAACGTCAGCTGAAATAAAAACTACTTGCAACACCGAGGGCAGCCCTCCAATCGAGCCCGCATATTGTTTATTTAGTAAGGATATCGAGACCCGAGGCACTGGCACACATCGTACAAACATGCATACATATGTACATATATCGAGCTGTACACGCCAATGAACATATGAGTGTGTTTGCATGTGTGTGGGTGTGTGCGTGTGAGTGTGCGTGTATAAAAGAGGGCGGTTACTTTAAATAATTGAGGGCGAGAGCTGAGAGGACTTTTATTTGCCATTAGAAGCTCTGGAAATTAAGTTAAAAGATTTCCAGGAACAAGATACTTTCCGGTAATTCAAATGACCCATGATGATTTTTAATTATAACTAAATAACATAACAAATAAATATACAATAAAAAAATTACAGAATAATGCATAAATTAAATAATCATTTATTGTTAATATGCATAATAAACTATTTTTAATATCCAAATTAATCTTAGAAACAAAAAATTTCTTTTGATAGAGTTGATAGATGAAATTAGTTAATCAAGTAGTTGTAAAACAATATTTTAGGATAAAAACCTATTTCTAACTAAGTTATGTAAGCAATATTTTAGTTAAGTTTTAAGATCTATTAATTATACTTTTATTAAATGCCATACTTTGTATCCCTTATTTTCATATCAATCAAAAAGTTGCATTTACAGTTTGTATTATTAATTTAATAAAAATAAATTCAAGGCGATAAAATAAGTTTATGTAAATCATGCATGATAAAAAGTTAGACTTTTAATGTCGTTTTATTAAAAAACAAAATTATATTTAAAATTTGATTAATCGATGTCAATGAATTTGCGTAACACAGTGGTGCAGAGCTATGATTATTAATTGAACCGCCCTCGGGTACTGATATGCATGTGTGTGCTTGTGTGTATGCATTTATATAGCAGATATATATCTACATATGTATGTGCCACATGACGGACAGACGGACGCACGGACGTGGCAGTGGCAGCTATAGCCGTGGCGACAACGCCGTCTGGGCTGTTGCTGCTTCGGCAGCAAGGCATCGGTCGGTTGTTGAACACATAGCATACACACACACACACACACACAAACAAACACTTACTCACACTCACACTTAAGCAAACCCTCCCAGTAACTCTATTCACATACACTCCACGCATATCGCGCTTATGACACGACGCGAGTGGAAGTCGAAGTCGAAGTCGAAGACCAAGACAAAATGATAGGGGAGCAGCTGAAGTTACTGATGACGAAGAAGAAGAAATGGGAGGAGGTGAAGGAGCAGCTGCTGCTGCTGCTGCTGCTACTACTGCAGCTACTGTTGCTGCACTGGAGCTGAGAGAATGAAAAACTGGGGGCAAAGGCGATTGCGGCCGCATGCCCAAAACGGAAATGCTCGGAAATGTACATAGAAAGTGAAGAAAAATAAAGTTCTGTTATCTAGTACGCACACCCACACGCATATAGAATGCGTTGAGTTGTTGTTGTTGGTGCTGCTGCCGCTGCTGCTGCTGAGTTGTTTATAAAGTTGTTGACACTGTCGCGCAAACTGTTGCAATTTGCTAGCAAGGCAACTTTTCCAAATTCTAATTGGCAAAACTACAGCGAAGAAAATGTCTTTCGCAGACCTTTCAATTGTTGTTGTTATTAGTGTTGTTGGTACTGCAACTATTTGTTGTCTTTTGTCATTGTTTTGTTGCGGTTGTGTTTGGTAGTTTCCTAATGAATTCGAAGTATTAGATTGGCAACAAGCAGGTAACGCAGGTAACCATGAATGAATCATTAAACATAATCATCAATAACATAATCATCAATAACATAATCATCAATAACATATGGGCATCATGGGCACAAAGAACATGACATGCAAGGAAAATAACTGAAACAGTTTATTAAGCTGCTTACTGGAAGTCAATGACTTTGTAAGTGCTTAATACTTTAAAGCCGATAAGAATAATCATGAATGACATTTCGCTATAACTTTATGCTGGCCTTACTGATAGACGGTTCACAGACAGATCGCTGTAAATGCACATAAATGCGTATAGATCACTGTAAAAGTCATTAACATAGTTTTGGATGCACTTAAAGGAATACAACAACAAATTGTATTGACTTTTTTTTTTTACTTTTTTAATTCCAAATGAATTCCAATTAAACAAAAGGCATTTAATTTTAACTATTACTTACTATTGTATCCTCAGAGACGCTTTTTTCGTTGCTCCGCAGCTGCTGCAGCTCCCCTTGCTGATCATATTTATTGTTGTTGTTGTTGTTCTTAGCGTTCCTGTTATGCTGATGGTTGTGACTGTAATGCGTCTGCAGCTGATGAATATTGGCTACTGCAGCTGCCAACAGCAAACAGACAACAAAAACCACAGAGGACAAGCATCCACATGTGTAACACATTTTTGTGCCTCTTTAAATGCAAGCAGGGAGACACTGGCAGGTTGTGAGCCACAACTTTCCTTACATATGCTAATATGTAAGTATTTGTAACTGAAAGTCGACAACACTTGTGCTTTATAACTTGAAGTCGGCAACACTCGCAAAACACTTGCCCTTTTTTTTTTTTTTGCTTTTACTGCACTTTTTGTTGCCGCTGCTGCAGAGTCTACAAGCTGCATAGAACTTTTTGTGCTAGCAATAACAAATTAGATTTGTACCGTTACTGCATGAGCTTTTCACTTTTACTTTAAATGCAGCTTCGTGTAGTTGCTGTTGTTGTTGCTCTTGTAGTCGCTGTGGTCGCACTAAATACACACATGCGCACTACAGAACAGCCGGCAGCAGCAGCTGAAGCAGCGTCACCGGCGGGTGTGTAGCTCTTGTGCCGTTCTTTTTTATTCGATTTTCTTTTTTGGGTTTATTTTTTTTTTGTTTTTTTTGTTGTTTTTTTTTTGTGGCAGCTACTTTGGTCTCCACGGCTTTGGCTTTTCTCGCGTTTACTTTACTTATGATGTCACAACACACATTTCCATAATAAATTTAATTTAAATTTCAAAATTTCGAAATACACACTACAGCGACACCGACATACGATTAAACGCACATTAGCTAATGTTGTTATTTGGCTATTGCTTTTGTTTGCCTTTGTAAATGCAACGACACAATTTATTAGCACGCGATACGTATACAAAGGAGTTGCTTCTACTGCAGCTGCTGCTGCTGATGTTGCAGCGTTTGTTGCTGTAATCCCACGCACGCACTTACACACGCACACAGACGCACACAGCGGTACGTTCAACGCTCTGCTTTGTTGTTATTTGCTTTTGTGTACGCGCCTTCTTACAACAACAAAAAAACAACACACGCGACTCGCCTGGCGTGGAAGACGTTTTCTTTATTTCATTTTACAGCACATATACATACATATACAATAAAAGCATATACAAATATATTCAAATAATCCTTTTTTCGTATAAAACAACGCTAAAAATCTCGTTAGTCCGCCTTATCCGCCTTGCGCTGGGTTTCGCTGCCAGCCCGACACTAAGAGTGTCAGAGCAACGAGCGCGAAACGAACTCTGTTGTCGACTTTTCTGTTTAGTTCCGCAGTGAGAATGAGAGAGAGAGAGAGAGCGAGAGAGAGCGGGAAAGAGAGAATCAAAGAGTAAATGCTTACAGCGATCGCTGCAATACACCAGAGAGCATAAAAGACCGTTCACTCGTAAATGCACAGCTGTGCACGACTGAGGATCGACCGAGTACTGCTACTTGCTTGTCTATCGTATCGGTTTTTGTTGTTTTGTAGGACTTTTTGCCGTTACCAATGCTTCTTCTGCAGAAAAACAGTGTTGCAGTGCTGAACTGCACTTAACGTAGTAGCATCCAAAAAGAACTTATAGCATACGAAAAGTGATTTGTTAATACAAAATAAAGTAAATCAATAAATAAGTTACAGTATTGGGTACTATTTACAAAAATATATATATATATATATAT